TGCACAAGTCCATGGAGCTGGGTCTGTATTCCGTCGGACAACAATGTGGCTAATGATTGTGACACGAAGGAAAAGTTAAGATCCGACCATAAATCCCCAATTGCTCGATCTGATGTCTCAGAAACCTGTAGAGTATTAGAGGCGTTGATCACATTCCTCTTTTTGTTTGTTTTGAATCACTTTCCGCGGTAACATTGTCTCAAACGGCAAATTGCAGCTCTAGAACATCACTGAAACAGAACAGACTCGACTGTAAGGCTGGAGAAGTATCGTATCGTTGTCCTTTCCTACGTATGCAGCCTCCCGCGTTGCCAAGCCCCTTAAAGACCAGCAAACACTTACAGAAAATTGGATTCTTAATCACTAATACTGCTGTATAAGAGTTCTTACTGTGTAGAACCATCTCCTACCAATCACATGTCGAAGTAATGGACTGTACAACTCATCACCTCCACAGTCGCTGCTTCACTCCTTCACCTCCGACGCCAAAAATTGTAAATAGCTTCAAAGATGCGATGCGTCCTAATTTCTGACCACCCCTTACCACTGTTTGTTTGCATACAAACACATCCACCGATCGATCTGATTGGCAAAACCAGGTATCCGGAACTACCTGGTGCCAGCATGCAACACATGCAACACATGCAACACATACAACACTTCCACACTAATCTCCCAGTTTCTTCAATCACATCCATCCTAATCGAGTGCCACTCCGAACGATGTCATCACTCGGATATCCCCTGCTTATTATTATCCTGAAACCTCGTATGTTGGGGTAAGCTGCCTAACAAGAAAGAGGCTTCTCACTCGTGTCACCATAGGTATATACCTGTGTAACTTTAGCTTTTCTCACAATTGGTCTCCCATATCCAATACCGAATTCCTGGAACGAAGGATTTTATCTATCCCTGCCAAAGGAGGAGTGAAATAAAATGTCTAGTCAGCCGGCTCAATATTCCCCCTTCTAAATTTATCATCCCTTGGGGCAAGTGCGAAATCTAGAATTCGCTGTGTATTATTATTATTATGCATAAATAGCAAATAAAGGATTAAAGAGCTAGCAGCCAGGCCAATTAGAGACGCGACGAGTGCATACATGACCTTAATCCGCATATATATGGGCTCGGCATGTCAGCATTTATCTATATGTATGCATCTCGCAATATATTTCATCGGTTCGCTCCGTCGCGCTTATAGCTAGGGGAGAATATCGGTGAGCATGTCAGCACTGTCACTTGCCATCTTTCTTTTTTCTTCTCAGCCCTAGCTTGCGTCTGCTGTAATTATGTAACCTCTGTTTTCTCCATAGACACTCTAAATCTTTATTGGAGAAGATATTTCCCCCTCCCTGGAAAGTACCAGCTGAATGGATTCTAATTCCGGCGCGAAGAAACTTATTTGTTTTTAATGGATGTACGGAGTAATTACATCTTACACATTCTTTGGACCCTACCTATAATGGATTCATGCCCAATTATTTAATTTATTACATGCGTCCGTTTTTTCTAATCTACTTAGGTACCTATAACAGATACGCATACACATTTCTTCCATAGAAGTCGGACTCATCACGTGTGACGTATAGATAAACTCAAGTATATTCTTCACACCATCTAATACCTAGATATATAACTAGTACCTATTACCTATATAATAAATGTACTATATATCAGAACATTCCACACCAATCTATAAATCTAAACCCGCAAGCAGTGCAGTATAACGAACACCATCTCACCAGAAGAAACAGGGATCCAGCCTCAAACCGACCGAGCTCTTTTCATTCGACTTCTTATTCTTTATATATATATATATATATATATATATCATAATATCTCTCTATAAAACAACTCTTTATATATATATCGATATCTTGTGACTGGAGTAATTTATTTATATATATATATATATACATACGAGTATTGTAATTTTATAATATAATTTTAATAATATTATTGAATATTTTAAATAAAATTATATTTATATAAATTAAATATGTATAATTCTTCTAACTCTATTGGAATATATTTTTATTTTATATATTATAATAACTGTATAGTTATAAAGACAGAGATATTACAAATCTAGACTAGATAGAATGAAAGGCCTTTTCAGTGTGCGGTTGAAGGGGTTGGAAATTAAATATGTCAAGAGAGTTTAAATTCTACTAGGTATCCATCATCATCAATTTGAGCAAGAATTTGGAATGCTGAGAAATAGGAATTAAAATGGCTTATCCCGCCGGACTAGTATTAGTGCAGCACTATGTCGAATTCATAAGGTGCTCAGATGTAGAGTCAATGTATCTAAGACAAGAAAAGCGTAGGACTGGATCATTTCTCATTTTTAAATTTAGATCACCTATTCAAATGGGGACCTTTAGTATTTCTCTCTTCTGGGTGCTCATATAATATGCATGTAGATTTCTCAGATTTTTAAACTTGATATGGGGAAATTATCTTTAGATTCTCAGTACTGCGGTTTTTAAATACTTCTTTCTACTTTGAGTATTCGAGAATACATATTGATTATCTACCATTTTAAACATCACATCACCGCATCCACCACTTCTCGCTCCTGCTAACACTTCCTTTTTTCGCCTCCTCAGTAGTATCCAAATGCAAATTTCCAAACCCTCAGTTACTTATCTTCCTATTCTCTGAGATTTATTGACTCTTTTTCCTATACAATATCCTACACGAAATTCCCTCTATCTAATTATCCCCCCATTTATTACAATTCTTCCACATCCCTACTCTTCAATTCTGACGTCAAATATGGCACATTTTCCCGTCTTTTATTATTGCCATCCCTGTAGTGACATGTAGCTATGATGGAAGTGACATCTTTGTTAAAATAGTCATACGACACTCATATCATTCATTATTTTCACCTCTATCTCTCAGTCTAGAAATACAACCGCAAACCTATGGCTGTTACGCTCACATTCCATCCATATCTCATGAAGAATAATATTGTATCCCTTTCGAAAAGCTCATCTCCCGTTCTTGTGAATCTTCCATAAACGCGACGCTTACTCCAGCGGCTGCATGGCATCCGAAGTATCCTGATCCGTTCTGTCTCTACCGGTCAGCTGGAAATGCGCAACTTGACAGTGAATGATAAGGCTCCAGCATGTTGATTATATGATTCAGTTTGCCCTTCTACCTTTGTCTTGTTCAATGGTATGCTTGCCTTACCTGAGAATTCGGCGTACTTTGGATAGAGCTTTGATTCGTCGCGTATGAGCTTTTGAATCCTAGATAAAGCCTCAAATACATGCGATGTAACAGGCAATGTAAATATCACCGTTGCTTTGTAGATGCCATGAGAAATTTGGATATGGATTGTGGTCTCGAGGTTCTTGTATGGCAACTAAGAACTCATACGCAGAGTAATTTACCTTGAAATTCTATCGATGTGGAAGTAGAATAGTGATGCTATTCAATTCTAGTGGTACCAGAAGTTTTGTATCAACAGTAACCGGGGACAGAATAGTAGAAGAAAACGCTAATACGTTCTTAGAAGTAAGAATATACATTTTATTGGTGCTGTCGGATGAGGGAATGGGCTTTACTACTCTATTCTAAGATTACAGAACACAGATTTTTCGTCAATCATGAGCGCCATGTAAGACCAAAATATCTTCTGATGATGTTACAGCCTTTACAATCATGCTTTATGTCTTGCCCGCATCATCTGGTTAGCCTCTAGAACAAAACTAAGATGTGTTTGTTTGGGTTGAAGCCCAGTTAATGATTTAGTTTTGGTAGAATGAACCTATTCAGTATGAGATCTATGAACAAAGGTTTCGCTCCAGACTGAATGAAGTTGATGAGTTCTGGTGGTTCGAAATTTCTTGGATGCTCCCGTGGACTACTGTTAGGGAACCCAATACGAACAACCCAAAATGCTTGCTGCTGGTTCTCTTCGATGAAAATGCCCTTGTTTGGTTCAATTTTATTGCATTGTGTGGCTTCGACTATCTAAACAGGCTTCCAAGACAAAGATGTTGGGTTTTTTGAGTGGCATAGATTTAGAATCGAGTGACTTGCTATAGGCAGAGTGGACGAATTATATTGTGAAAGTAAGTCCTTTACTACGAAAATTTCACAAAAAGAACAATGATTAACAAATATCATTTATTCTATGTCGCAGTTCTCGTTGAAGAAGGCGCGTGGAGTAGTTGGTGAGAGGACCATGATGAGGTAACGACAAGAACATAAGTTAGTACATGGAGTTTTGCACTAGTATTACTTAGTTAGACACTATTATGCATTGTGGTATTCCTCGCAGTGTTATCTCTTTTAAGCTCGATGTTATAGGGAATTTCCAGCTTACTTACTGCATTATAATGTATTTGGGTAGTATTGCTCAAACATTTTGATTGGTTTGATCGGAAAAAGTTTCAACTTTTTGACCCTTGAATTCTATCTCAGGATGGAGAGTATATCACATATAGCATAGATATAGGTTGTTTATGTTCATGAATCTTTCTTGGTGTTATTGGATTTTTGAAGTATTTGCCGTTATTTCAAGATGATTATTTCTGTCTTTTTATCATCGTAAGTTATCAGAAGGCCAATCAATCTTTTGTATCCAAAAAAAAATATGGATAAAACAGAAATAATTGGAAAAATATGAAAGAGCTCTTTTGTAAAGAGAGTGGTGTTAAGGCGTGATGTCTAAACTGATTCATATCTTGTTTCCCTCCCCGTTTCAAATAACACCATTCTAGGATGAACTGATTGTTTGTTGGTCCATGGACTCAACGAGATATTGCCAAAGTGTCTGCAAAGATGTTTTGAAAGTAAAATAGAATTGACTGAAAATAGCTGAATGGCTGGATTGCTTGTCAAGTCAGGTCACTGATCAGTTAACTATCCGTGGTCACCTCCTTCATAACTATCACTTAGATGATGATAATGAGTGAATAAGAATGAAAAAGCACACGGTTAACATTACTATGTTAAATCGAGCTAGCCTGCTCTGGTAACTCAAGATGATCTTCTCAAGCGCGTTTCTAGCATTACAGTTTGTCCGTCATCAGCCTTATATATCTCTACAAGCTCCAAGCCGACTTCCTCGAATATGCCATTCCATTCTCGAAGGGATCGCAACTTACCACAAATTGTGAGTAGTGCTAAATCAATCCAGTACGCGGTCCATGGACCACCTACAGTTACCCGATCAGGCAGGAGCATATCACCGATTACGAGCCGTGAGTCTGGACCCGTGGCCGACACGGTGTTCTTGAGCATAGGCACAACCAGTTTGTCGGGAAATTCGTGGAGAACACGACGCATAAAGTAGACATGGGCGTCTATGATGCAAACAAGTTCACGCGGGATCACAAACGTAGTAGGTGATTAATGGGTATTCTCGTGCAGTTGCGGGATTTGAAATATGAGCTGTCTGTTTTTTAGTGCGGAAAATATCGATGTCGAAAAAAAGTGTATACTTTGCAATCGGGACACGCCAGCCATTTGAATTCCTCCCACGAAGACGACTTTTTAACATTTAATGTCTGCTGGAAGAGATGATAGATAGGAAATAATCTATCTCATAGCAAAACTCCCAGAGTCATTGGGTATTCATGTTTATGTTATTTCTGTCTCTGGCCTGTGGCTTTCATAGTCCTGAAATTTTACTCCGGAAAGGCTTTGTAGGCGGAGAATGTGGTGTCTCGATGGTTTGATGCCACTGTCATTGAATTGTAGAGGACTGGACAGTTCGTTTTAGGGTTGATTTTGAGGTTATCCGGTATATAGTGTAAAAGTGGTAGGTCGAGATACATATATCCCGATAGTATATTATGATAGGGAATTGAAAAAGAAAACTGATTAGATTATATCGTCGTATATCGTTTATAAAGAAAACAGGATTTATAATGAATTTAGGATTGAAATTATATAAATTCAAAATATACATGTATATAAAAGATTGATTATTATAAAAAGAAAAAGCAAAAGTTTTTCTTTTATATCTAATTATAAAAGATTATATAATTGATTAACTAAAACCCTTTATATATATAACCTATAATTCCAACTTTCTCACAATAGGATCAGTGTTGGACATTTGTCCAAAAGATGCTCTCGATAGTAAGTCTTTCGGGGTTCGTTGGCGGATCTGAGCCTCGCCGTCGACCCCTATAAGGAATCCAACTTTTAGTTTAGTTCTAGTTATTTTTTGCAGTGATGTTTATCCATTCTTCAATTAGTAATACTGTGCCGCAAATTAGAATTAGAAGACCATGTATAAGAGACTTATACATCGACTCCTGCCTCAACTGATCACATAAATGATGGCTTACTTCTTTTACAGGGCGTGATAAATCAATGTGATGTCTCCCAGTTCCTCAGACGCATTGGGAAGGAGGGAATATTCATGAAAGCATAAGGATTTCAAACATGAGAATTTACTTAGGCTCGAATGCGCGGAGTATATGGATGTCAGGTTTCTTAAAGGATACAGTGCGCCGCATCATCTTGCTAACTTTGCCGGGTAAGAACTCTTGAAAGGAGGCGACATTTATCAAGCAGCAAGCAAAGATACAGACTTAAGATACAGACTTAAGATCGTCGGCTATCGTAAGTCGTTGATGTCGCCGCTCACGAGATTAGTAATATGTAAATTGCCGAGTGAAGAATCCGACGGTGAAGGATCAATAAATTTATAAGCATGGCCAAAGAAAGAAATATCTTGAATTGCAATTTGGAGAGTATCATTGGCCGAGTTTCAGACAGCGCTACTTACTTAACTTATGCCAGAGGAGTTTTAAGGATTTTAAGGCGTTTCATAATTGGCTAAAATATTTTAGTCAACGGGATTAGAGGCGAAAGCAGTCAAGTGCTCAATGATGACAGTAATGACGATATAGACCGGCACTGTTTATCCGTACTTGCTTAATACTAAATCATTTCATACTAGAACAGGAACATACCACGTCTATGGCTATCAATCCACAATTCCACGTGCACATTTTAAAAGTTATGCTTGCATGATGCCGATTATCCACAATTTAGGAAAAATCATGTATACAACGTCGATCCCCCTCCGAGTTTATTTTTCTTCACCATTTCCCCGTCTTTAAATATTTTCATGATTATTCAACATCGATGGATCGATTAAAGCGTGTTTTGTCAAGGCCAAATGCGAAGCCGTATCGTACGAAACATATCGTCGATGATCAACCGTACATAAATGAAAATGGCCATCTAGATTTTGGCCCGGGAGATATAGAGAATCCGAAGAATTGGTCGAAGGCGAGAAGATGGTATATTACCGTTGTATCGGTTTTGCTCGTGGTAAATGCAACATTTGCATCGTCCAGTCCGTCGGGATGTTTGACTGGAATTGAGAGAGAATTCCATGTTTCTGCAGAGGTCTCAGCTTTGGTCATCTCGGTTTTCCTTCTAGGATACTGCTTTGGACCATTATTTTGGGCGCCGTTGTCCGAGTTCTTTGGTCGAAGATGGATCTTTTATATCTCTTTTACCTTGTACTTGGCCTTTAACTTTCTTTGTGCGTTTGCCAATAATTTCGCAGCTCTATTAATAGGACGATTCATAACGGGTACAATGGCAAGTTCGCCACTTTCGAATGCCCCAGGAGTTCTCGCCGATATTTGGGGCCCTGTCGAAAGAGGAAATGCCATGGCTCTGTTCTCGATGATGACTTTTGCCGGTCCAGCATTGGGTCCCGTCATTTCAGGATTTCTTGAGTTGAAAAAGGACTGGAGGTGGAATTTTTATGTCATGTTATGGCTTGCTGGTGTCACCGAGATTTTAATGTTTACTATCCCAGAGACCTTACCTTCGAAATTACTAGTAAACAAAGCTAGGAGAATAAGGGCATTGAAGATTCCAGGTTACGAAAACGTCAAGGCTCCCGTCGAAGATAGCGATCGTACATTATGGCAAATTTTCAAGGTCGCACTTGTTAGACCATGGCAACTTCTCGTCGATCCTATTTCGTTCGCCGTTGCCGTTTACCTATCCGTCGTATACGCTTTGCTGTATATGCTCTTCACTATCTACCCCATCATCTTTCAGGAGAAACGTGGTTGGAATTCCGGAGTAGGAGAATTGCCATTGATTGGTACGATCATTGGAGCCATAATAGGCGGGATCGCCATCTTCATCGTGTCCCACCGTGATAGAAAGAAGGTGGAGGCTGGTCATGTTGGCGTAGCTGAGGATCGTCTACCTGTCGCCATGGCGGGTGGAATTATTTTTCCCATTACCATGTTTTGGTTTGCGTGGTCTGGAAATTATAATAGTGTTCATTGGATTGTTCCCACTCTTGCTGGAATATTCCTCTCCTCGTCTATTCTTCTCATTTTCGTCGCCTACCTCAATTATTTGACCGATACATACTTAATGTATGCCGCTAGTGCAGTTGCTGCAAACACCGTTTGTAGATCGGCCGCCGGTGCCGCAGCACCATTATTCACGACATATATGTTCGATGCTCTTGGAGTGGGTGGAGGTGGCTCATTAATCGGTGGACTTGCCATATGTCTTGCGCCGATCCCCTTCCTATTTTATAAATACGGTGGAGCCATCAGAGAACGATCCAAATTCGCTCCAACTCCCACGAAGAAACCTTCAAACGAACAGAATGTGGACAACGAAAAGGCGCTCGAAGCAAATCAATCCTCACCACACCGAACGTCAGAAAATAGAACCAATACTAGCTCCCGCTCATCGTCAGCATCAAGTATAGCAAGTATGCCTGATGCTCCACGCGAAGATACTTATCATCAAGAGGGATATATTGAGGAGGGCATGGGATATGGACGAGTGGCGTTGCCCAGTGATACGAGAGAACAAGATGCTGGGCAGCTTGCAAGTGAAAATTGAGAGGTTGGATCGTACGTTTAAACATGGCATATGGGTGATTAGACGGATTTTTATTTTATTTTAATAGAAAGCGTGGAGCAAATAGGGGATATACACGTCATTCAGATGGCGTTTCAGCATGATACCGAATGTAAAAATGATAATGATATACGCTTTTTTTTTTTCCTATTTTCGGTGTCGTCAAGTCTTCTATGGAATAATGGATTAATGCTGAGGGGTCTTTTGAGGGGGCATAATTATCTTTTTCTCGGCATAGAAAGGAAAATAGTACTACCTACTAACCCAATCACGAATCAGTTACCCAGAACAAAGCTCTAATCAATCTCAGCGGCCAAGCACTCCCATCTATCTTTATTCACAGAGCTCGACCTACAGATTCTATGATTCTACACCGGCCCTCAAACAGTCTCGATATCCTCACTTCCGCATACTATCTAACTAGAGTCTATGTTATCAATTATTTTCGACAATCATTTCCCTTCTTTTTCTCTAGGCCAGCTACGCATTGGTTTATTGATAGATCTTTTGCTATAAATATTCTATGTACCTTTCCTTTGTCTCCTCCGTGATACGTAAATGTACAAAGAATCTTTCAGCTAATTCCGCCAAACGATAGATAACACGCTCTTTGATTTTGATAGATTCCAAAAATATGTAGAGATCTGGGATTTGTCTATGTGTAGGTATGATTAGTATAGTCTCGAAGCACATTAAGGCTATCTTTTGACTTTTTCTCATATTAACCCGGCCGAGGCTTGTCCACTTCTATCATCATTTGCACTTCCGACTCGGTCCCTCCTTTTGATTGAAAGGACAGACCGTTATGGACGGCAAATTTTCCACAGAAATCTAGGGAGAGAGTTTGTTTTCGTATTCATTTGAGATATGGCATTTAACTGTATGAATAATGCTGGGTGAGCGGCGCTCTCGAACATCTTGTGATTTGGTATTCTCCTGATTTGAGTATCAACTCCTAGGGCTGACTTCATGCTGATTGTAAGATCTTACTGGATTATTTTGTGTGGATGGACGATTATTGATTTGAAATTACGAGATAACCCTTTTAGAAGTATAAATACACGACATAATTACCCGCTCATGGAGCTATCTGTATCATACCCCAAGCAAATCATGTGTCTCTAATAGACCGAGTAATTTGGGAACTAATTTTTTTGTATTGAACCAGGTGAATCTGAGACCAAGAGGCTACCTACCTAGGTATTCATGGCATAAAAATGAATAACTTCATGAGTCTCTTCTTCTCCAGTATCTCGTACAGGATCTCTTAATTCACTAAATATCAAGTGGAAATGAAGGGTCTTTAAAATAATTCATGAATTCTTTTTATAATAATGCCATAACCATATTTCATGCACTGAAATCACACAGCTATTTTCGCAATTATCCACAAATTATTCTCTGTCTAACATCTACGACATAATCATTTGCCATGTCTTCACCCGAAAATATCAAAGATACCGTAGCAGGCGAAGTCAACGTATTTCGCGAAGTTTATGGCCTTCACACAGTCATATATTTTACCACCATATCTCGCGACGGATTATTTCGCGTCTAGCTACTCCTAAAGACATACCACGTCTGTCTACTTATGAATATAATGATTATAGAATTGTTGCAAATATGAAATTGACGGGTGGTTGCTATGGACTTTTGAGCAGCCCGACATTCAGAAATCGGGTCGGCGTGCTCGGGAAACGGGCGTGGAAGGCAGATTTATGTTCTCAAGTTCTAACTTGGTTCAAGTTATTTCACGAAACCTCCTCTAGGTCTAGTCATGTTGGTATCTCATACTGATTTGGGAGATTCTAGGACAATCGCGCTAAGTTTCCGATGACTTTTGAGGAGGAAAATCAATATATCTAATTGAAAGCGAAGATGCAGTCACCTGCCGCGGATAATTATGAGGCTTGTGAGGCTTATGTAAATAAGTGAATCAAACACCGGCGTCGTTTTTTATCCCAAGATCAACCTGGAGTTGATATCTGCGGCACAAAACCCTGAATCTAGAATCTCCAACAATGCGGCATAAGTAAGTCAGGCTAGCTTTAATCTTCTCTTTTGAAATCAGAAGCTGATATATTTTATATCTATCAACGGCTCGAAACCGCCTGCAGCAATGATATACGCGGTAGCAAGTGGACTAGGGATGAAGACACGGAGATAGGCGATGTTGATTTCAATGTCGAGGTTCCAGGAAACTTAAGCAAGCAAGTCAGAAAGCGAGCAAAAGCACTTTCAAACATTTCGGATTTGTAGTTTCACCTGCGCGTCGAAATCACCTTGAATCTTACTACTAGAGTCTTCCCCAAATATGGTTTCGCTGGAAGCCTTTAGGATATTCCATCTCGTTTTAATCTTGATATGAGCACTACACTGAGAGTCAATACATGGATACACTCAGAAACAGAACAAAGAATCAATAGGACAGGTTTTTGAAAGGGGATTAGGCTTCTATATTTCCAAGTTAAAAGATAGGCAAGATGCTCTTGAATTTATAGCATATTTTTCGGGGCACTGAAAAAGGGTTATTTATAGCTCATCAAATACTTGTATTAACTCTCGGAACAATCCTGAATTTAACATAACACTCTTTGACATTAGAACGATGTAATCTTCATGGTGTTGTGCTTTAAGTGGAAGTGAGATCTTATGTACTCCCCTTTCATACTTCGGATAATATCAAACCCCGAGGTTTATCCGTGCTTCTAGTTATACAAGGAAATCGTAACCTAATTCGGGTATTCATTACCGAGCTGAGGTTACCTTTGAGTGGAATTATCTTTATTTTGCTAATGATTCGAATTGATGGGTTGGGCTGGAAATTTTTTTATCTATGCCTATGCATGTTACTTTGAATCTTCGGCAAATGTGAATGGTGTGGAAAGAAATAGTGATAATTTGGGGTATTCGGGAAGAAGTATCATCTTACTGAATGTGGAACGGAGTCATTTTTCAATATTTGCTCTGCTTGGTGCCAGTCATAGGAGCTTGAAATTCTCGTGAATGTGCAGCTGTGAAGAGACTAAGCTTGCCACTGACTTTCAACAAACGGAATTCACATAAATGTCGTTTTGTAATAGCCAGTGATGCTAATTTAGTATCCCATACTCTGGGCTGCGGTAATCTGGAGTTATGACGCGCCTGTCTCTGTCATCACTTATTGGGCATCGGCTTACAAGTCAATACGAAACGCTTCTGATAAAGCTTATGGTAACTACGCCTTGAATAGATATTTGTAAAAGTTCTGGAAGAGGAGACACGGTTTTTCTCACATAATTTCATAATTGTAGATTAACTTTGTATACAAACAGTATTGCGATTTACATTATCTCAAATAACCCTAATACTTGACTAGAGATTCCATACAAGCCCATGAACGGCTGTATATTCTAAATCGAGCACCAAGCACCGTTCAATCATCCGAAATCGTATCCAAATATTCTACCCTACGTGTTGAGAGCCAATCAATGTATTCCCCACCATCGTTCAATATTCCGCTGGGCGTACGGCTTGATAAATGACCATTAGTAATATAGGCCTGTTCATCTTTATATGACATGAAGCCTTTGTCGCTCATTTCCTACACATGTAATATCAGTATATGTAATTTCTCATTTATCATTTCTCAACCAAAGGCTTAAAAGTGGTAGCTTACCTTGAACCATCCAACGAGCTTTAAACGGGCATTAGCCATTGCATCAATTTGTCTGTAGAAAGCACCTTTCTCGTCGCTTCTAAAAACAGGGCTATTTCTGGCAATGAAGCATTCGCCATTTATGGTCATAATAGCACTGTGTATTTGTGGCCCGATGGGATTATTGCAGTCTGCTTCAGTAGCGAGACTGAGATATATCTGGACGTTGAATTTTTGACGATAGTGATCTTCTTGCTGAAGGAGCTCATCGTATTTCTTTGGGTCCATCATTTTTGCGATTTTGGGATGATAGAGAGGGTCCTGTGAATTCGGACGATGAAGTGGTGGAGATTTTGACTGGTGGATATGATTTTTGGATGCTGTTAGATAGATGATAAGGCTTTGGTTGAAGGAGATGGTGTTTTTGAATGTTGTTGAACAGTTGTAGTTGTAGGTCATTAAATATTAAATGGAAGTAGCTGTTAAAATATAAGCCACGGGTCGTTCGTTACCGTAGCTCGATTCAAACTATAATAAAGTAGTAAATGGAAAGAGGTACGGTCAGAGACGCTGAGTTTGAGATAGGTTTTGTATTTGACCGTATTAAAATTACAACAGAGTATACGGAATGACCTCTGCCGTTGATTCACTGCTTAAATGTACTTTAATTTGACCAAATTACAATCACAATTTGAGACATGTTTAGCGTCTCAATACAAACAGGCCAATGGAATCTTTTTCCGTGATGCTGCGTCAAAATGGTCATCAGCTGAGAAATAATTGAATCACTCGAGGTTAAAATCAAACACAAACCACATTTTAGGCTAATGTTCTCGTCACATTTTATTAGACTAGAGCGATAGTTAGTATATATGCCAGACCCTGAGATCTTCATGGGTTTCTTGCTAGGCCATTTACCGAAGGTGAACTCCTCTTCTGCTCAGGTCAATTTAGATTTTTCGGCGAAACGAACCTGACTTAAGACATTGCTTGTGCATCTCTTTCAGCGGAACTTATAGTCTATCATCTTGGTATTGATTTCTGGTTAATATCGTTGAACTTCGAAGCCTGTAGTGATATTGGATTTGACGTCCGTTGAGTTGTGGGGCAATGAAATTTGGGAAAAGTCATAAGCGAGATAGACGGGAACGACCCATTGATGACGTCGAGAGATTGGAGCAAATATCGTAGATGATGACTTCCGATATGATATTGAGTTAAAACCATACGGAATCTTTGCTACTGGTAGTTGAAGCATATCAATTTTCTGAAGGAACTCCCACTGCGAAGAGCCTCCAACCTGGTCTTTCGATCGACTTAATGGAGGTTTCCCTGATAATCAAGAGCACCTCTATAGGTACGCAATAATAGAACAGTTGGAAGTTCATTATGGTACAGTATTTGCGCATAGCTGTCCGTCGTTAATCAAAATCACACCAAAAATCGTCATTTTACTATATTTTCAATTGAAAAAAAAAATCATATATAAAATCATTATAATTAATTAAAAAATTGAAAGATATATTGATTATATATTAAATAAATAATATTTTATATTCTCATTAATTTTAAAAATAAAAAAATTCAAATGTTTTATATGAGTTTTGGTGTGATTTTAATGAATGACAAACAGCTGTGCACGGTTACTGTAATCAAGTATCCTATAAATACCGATAAATTAAAACAAATCCTGCCTCTATATTAATCTCCATCGTAAGATTACATCACAAAGTTGCGAAGTGTGGTGCTTAGACAATTTTCAATTGTTGCACAAAAATTCATGGAAGCTCGCTTGTGGGTACTACTAGCATCAAAGTAAAGCATTAAATTACCATATTTTACAACTGCATTGTGAAGCAGAGTCTATTGAAGACATTAATTTATCTATCATAACTTTGAATTCGTAGCCTAACATAGCTCAAGTATTAAATACTTGTCTTTGAGTTTTCACTTGGACTCGGAATCTACTATTCAATCCATAAAGCGAAATCACAATCATCGTCGGTTAGCTCAAATAAAAATCGGGAGAGTCTTGTACAACCAAATTTCAAGAGGATATTGCTTTCGCTTTCTTTTGCCACCAATCACTTCTAGCGATCTTCTTCTTTGACTATACTGCAAGGTTATTTTCTTCCCAAATTGCAAAAAAATGTAACTATCATCCGAAAAGTTGAGGAGCTTTTTCACAGGTCCGCCCCGCCTTTCCACAATTCAACATACAGGTAACATTCGTGATTTAATCTTCACTATGTGTAAGTATACAATGATCTAGCTCCAAATATCTCTGTTTTGATGAACTCAACATGTCACCTTAGTCCACCTTATTGCCCTGCGTTTCTCGTGTCTAATAATCTTTGAAGGGAAGTTTGAAGCACCTTACTCTTGTTCACTGCTGTCTTCCATAATCTTTCTATCAATCCATAAGTAGTTCTGTTTGCTAAGCCGAATCCAGACTTTTGCGGTCGCCTCATTCTATTCTATCTTTAAGATAGCCTCTCATGTAATGCCCCATATACTCTTAGAGTCAGCCAGAAGCGCTCGGCTGTGAACCCTAATTGTCTCTCCTAGCGTACGTCCCGCTGATTCAAATAGTCCTCCAAGAAGGTTTGATATAACCCATGGTGCGCAACGCAAGTAGAAAGTAGAATCTTACCCAGTGAGTTCGCAGCACACAGTCAAATTCAGTCAAAGCTTTAATTACTTTTCTTTTTTCCAAAGCAGGCGAGCCTTCTATTGTCCTTCAATACTGGGTTCTTCGAGCGACCTTCTCGGTTTCGAACCATCAACAAGCAGGCACAAGCCGCACAACAATTTCACTTTACATTCACAAACATGACAGATTGTAGAAAGTTCTGCCATCATAAACGCCAACACTTACAGCAATGATTCGCGCCACCAGCGCAAGAATAAATTAAAACATGGCGAGAATGTTGAGAGCAAGACTGGTCCGGCTCATGAGCTTTAAGACTACTGCCAAAAGCACAGATACGACCCTCCCAACTACATTCCCGACCACAACAGATTGACGCTGGTTTTATCCGGATCATTTATCTTCAGCAAAAGTCCAGAGACATCTCAAAGATTGCTCAAGCTCGAATAAAAGAATCTCGGCACAAGCGAAAAAATCCTTCAATATACGCTGCGATACAATTAGCTTAACATTTACCGGGAGATAGATATGCTCATCGGCGGTTCTGACGACACACGAGACATCATCAACTATTTCAGAGTACTTGCTCCAGCAAGAAAAATGGAGCCTTTAGACATCTCTGCAAGATCGATAGCATCACACCATCAGTCGGTGACCCTGCCAGATTCCATGAAGTTTTCTTCCAACTTCGCCGCTGCGGGGTACATGACTGGGCTGTGAATAATAGCCAACTCATCGGGTACGATCTTTTGTTCTTTCGGATGATGTTCTTTGCCTTTGCAGCAGCTAAATATGGAGAAACAAGTGACGATATTCCCAAAGCACTTGCACTTGTTAAGCATCTCGAATCCGTACTAGTAGCACATCATGCTATAAATAATCCGACGCAAGTCAATCAAGCATCGATTGTCCCCACGCATGCATTCGACATGCACCGTAAGCCACTTCTAGCCCTATAAGAGCCAGCGTCCGAGGCTAAATCACAACTTGTTCTGCTAGTTCACAGCCATCGACTCCTACCGGAAATATTTTGAGCTCTGTGACGAAGGGCGGAAAGTCTAACGGTAAACCATTGAAACCCATGCCCACCAGTCATAGAGTTTGAAATGCAGAGTCTAGCACAAAAAATGCCTTGAGTGTCCTAGGGAAAGCGTCACAGTGCAGAAAGGCAAGCCATAGTAGGAAAACTGTAGGAGATAGTCCGTCTATTCTAGACCACCAAAAAATAAATCATAATTAATTTGGTCATCTTGTTACTTTGAAATTTCTGGTCTGAATTCTGCAGTGCATGAAGCTGCTCTTCGTAGTTTTCCCTTTTGAATTGGAGCGATTAAGACCACAAGCGTTTGGTTGTCAGCTTTTCTTCGATTGATTCGTTTACTATGTATTTCGAAGGGTATCTGAAGGGAAGGGGCAGTTTTCGTAAGATGTGAACAAATTTTCGTTTCTATTGCGGAGTAATTCTTGGTACTGATGAGGAGCTGTGGCGGCGTTTTCTTTTAGTCCGAGAATTTTATGTGTCGTAGATAATATGATAACAATGTTTTTAATAATAATGACTATTACAAGTTGCATGTCATCCTGACGTTTCCCGTCACTTGTGTCCTATCAGTACTCTAAGCATTATTTAATCTAAATGAAATAAGGGGCTATTACAAAGCTCAATTAATATGTAAAAATCCTCACCTTTGGTCTCGATTTCTTAGAAATAGAGCTTTAGTTGTGTAAAGCTTGGAAGTCTGGTTAGACGTACTGATCCACGGAAACCGGGACATTACTTAAAAATCAACAAATTCAAGTTCAAGTATTTCGATAGAAAATTTTTTCTTTTTCTTTTTTCCTTTAGTTTACTAAAGGTTCTAGTGGAGGGTCAAGGTTAGGAGAATTCGGGGACAAATCTAGCGCGGCCCTCGGCTCCTTCTACATTCTTAGTTATTCCTCAATATTTAGACTCTGTAGGTGTCGCCCACGCAATCTTTATATACTCTCAGAGCCGTTCAATGGTCCAAGATCCTTTCCCTGACCGAGCTGTTATGTAATTCTCGTTAATAGCGGCGCTAGTGCCTCAGCCCAAGGAAAATAATAGGGCAATTGAAGAGTCGCTACGCTTCTGCATTTATATAAGCGAACATCAGATCAGGAGAAGACAAATTTTCTATTTCTATCATTATTGTTTTATATTATAGAGTAATAGAAATGGAGCCTTTCGTCCTTTTAATAGCTGGAGATAAATCCGGTAATTTAATTCAATAGGACTAATATTTGTTATAAAAAATAATAGTTTATAGAAGGAGGCGAATCATATGGAATTAAAGCGATACAACCTTAACAGAGCTAGTATATATATAGCTAAGCCGAATCTCCAAAAAGAATAACATGTTAAGTGAAAAATGGTTAGTATGATATTCTTCCTTCTTAGAATTTATGAACTTTCATTAATAATTTATAAAAGATTTCTCAAAAATATATTATTTCTATCATTTGCACAGCAAATCTGAACATAGAAAACAAATTCCGCTCATCTCCAATCCAGAAATTATCCACATGAACAGTTTGAAGGTGGGATTAAAGTAAATTTTTATCAAAGAGATTGTAATTGTCTTCTTACATCTGAAAAAATGTTAAATGGACTAACTTAAATTTCACATGCTACTAACCCATCATCCTTTACTTTTACCTCAGAACTTTTGTTGCAGATCTAATATCTTTTTTTTTTAAAAAGACTTTGGTAGCCGTAATTTTACACAATTTTCCATGTAGAAGAAGTTATATATATTCCGAATCTTGGAGTGTAAACAACAGAGCACCAGGTATTCCTATGAACTCTCCAAGGATAATTATCTTTGATTATTGGAATGCCTGTACGTTGGACGGACATGGATTTACAAGATAGTTTATGGAAATAAATGAGGTCAAAGGAAAATTGCATAGTTGTTTCTTTGCTGTCTCTCTCTTACTTTCCTGCACAGATCATTATAAATTATGGGTTCGGTTCATAGGTCATAGGTCAAAAAAGAGCATTAAAGCTCAGATATGAGAGCGGGGCTACTGAAAGATCTAGTGGGTACTGCGTATATATCATAACCTTTGCATATCTGAAGAGTACCAGTATTACCAACGTTGTGAAAATTCCCATCTAGCAGAATATTTATGCTAAAACATCCGCAATTTAACTCGATGCAAGAGAAAAAAAAGCTGTGAGCTCTTGCAAACGACCGCTATTTTCTCAGACTGCAGCATCCTCCCAATCCATCACCATTCACGCAGTCCAGTCCATTTGTACCAACAGGGCCAGAATTATGTCCCCAATGTTTTGGAAGATTCGTCTAATGCCTCATCTTTCACATCATCCGAGAGTTTTCTTCTCTTCATGGGACCACCAAACAATGTAAATGGTGTTGTAAAATCTGGGATCGAAGTGGTAGGACCAGTACTGGGAGTGTCAGAAATTTGTGTATTGCGATTAGCTTTGCCAAATTTGTCTTTCCCACAACCATATCCTCTAGGGATCCAGCTATAATTGCTCTTCCTTCCAAATATATTCATACCACTTAGGAATCGGAACGGTCCTATATTGTCCGTTGTCGCCACGACGCTTTTTTCCACTTCGTTTTCCTTCGTTGCTGTTTCCGCAGACTCGAATATCTTATCTTTAATTGTGTTCCCGTAGATAGTAGAGCTGCCGGTTAGTTTGTCATTTATTTCAGTATTGAGAGTCTGCGCATCTTCTACGCCCTCTAAAGGTCTCTTTCTTTTGCTCGGAAGTTGTCCTCCTGATTCTATGATCCTAAGCACATGATCGATAACAGAAGTTTTAGAACCATTATCACCATCTAAGAGTGCAGCGCCCCGGGGGTTTAATACTATTTGCATTCATGTCGTTGACTCTTGGGACTTGATTCTTCCACGCCTCATTTTGTGAATTGTCCACCTTGATGCTAAATTTGGTTCTGAGCTTGCCATATCTTTCAGGATCAAGAGCTTGTGCATCCCGTAACTTAAATTTGTTCATGTCAGTCTGCATTAATTTGAATATCTACAGGTCTGGTAGAACTTACTGCAAGATTTTCCATCTTCGGATAGCGTTCTTGACTAGGAAACAGTTCAGATAAGAGCTGTAGGTATTCCAATCAGTGCTGTTACTATATCCTGGGTGGCGCACCTGAGACTTACCGGACCAAGGGTTTTTCCACCATCATTTGAGGTTGCCGAGCGTAGACGATGCTCTATATAAGCGAAGTAGTTTTCGACCTCTTCTTCAGGTACGTGCTGGAGGCTTCTAACCATATCCTCGTAACTCTTCACGAACGCTCGTTCTTCCTTTGCTCCCGGAATACTTGGGGGAGGTGGGCTTTGCTGCAAGAATTATTTTAGCCTAGGACCTTAATGTATCATTATATTTTGTGCAACTTACATCCCACCGCTGTAATGCTTGTTGAGCTAAGGTTCGTCTCAATATCTGACCCGCTTTAGGGTGCGATGTTGAAAGATCTCCACGCACGACGTCCATGGAGTTAACGATATAAGCACCTCTAGTTTCTAATGAGCCAAAGATGCGTCCTTGTGCCATGTGGATGCTCCCTTCATGTCGAAGGCCTTCGTCACAGGTTGTCCGTCTAAGTGTATACAAGACAGTCTTCGGGTCAGTGCCAACATTTGATTCCAACTCTGAGCTGTTCAATACAGTGCGCGAGTCTTGCAGCGCCGGGCAATCTTCTCGGAGGTCCATTATCGTTCAGAAGAGCTCGCTAGTTTCTGAATGGTTAGTTTGCAAAGTAAAAATTGCATGCGATCTTACGTGGTAAATTATCAAGCCAGAAACCTACTAACCAGATCTCAGTGGAATTATTTGTTGTAAATTGTGGGTTGGAGACGTACAACCGACTACTAGATGTAGTTTATTTAAGTATTTAAAGTACTATGGGTACTGCTACCACATCGAGTGACGTAAGTTCGACTCGACTTGTGATGGTAGCCACTAGAGGCTAGAGCATGAGACAGTATATACGATTGAATTATCTGGACTAAATATTCTCGTTATCCACAACCAATTCTTAACCTCACTTCCATTGTTCAAACTTTTAAAAATTATCTGCATCCTTAAGCAAAATGTGTGCATTCGTTCCACTAGTTCAATCATATTCATTAAGGAGTGCAAGACCCATTGCTAAACCAATATATCCATCAAGTCTTTCCCCTCAAGCCATCTCTGAACATTCTCAGCCTGTTGCTGATACCAATCATTCATTTTTTCTTCTTCCACATAGCCCATGTGCGGGCTCAACAATACTTGACTTCTTCCCTTCTCTCCCCATTTTATGCTTCTCCACTGGCTATCCGCTGGCAAAGGTTCCAAATCAAAGACATCTAGTGCTGCTCCACGAATCTTTCCCTTTTGCAAAGCATCCAACAACGCATCCTGTTGAACAAGAGGTCCACGCGACGTATTGACAAACAAAGCGCTCTTCTTCATTAAATCTAGGTCCTTTTCCCCAACTATTCCTTTCGAACGATCACCTAATGCTAGGTGCACGCTGACTACATCCGACGTCGAGAACAATTCTTCCTTACTCACAACCTTGAATACTTTCTCGCCGTCCTCATCCTCTGTAGCAAAGCCACAGTCCCTAGCCTTCTGGTCTGCGGCTTCTTGAGTCAAACTTGAGCTCCATGCTATTATTTTCATACCAAACGCTGAATACATAATTTTGGCTACACTTGTACCCAACTTTCCTAAGCCTAGGGTTCCAAGAGTCTTTCCAGCCAATCCTGTTGCAAACGTTGTTTGCCAGCCGCCTTCCTTAACTACTTTATCATCCCGGGAGATATTCCTTGCAATACCCAGAATCAGCGCAACAGCATGTTGAGTGGTGCTGTCTGGTCCCCTCTTTGATTTTACCGAAGTACCAGTGACACTAATCCCATGTTTCTTAGCAGCTTCCATATCAATGCCCTTGTTCCTATTTCCTGAATTGAGGAGAAGTTTTAGATTGGGGAGCTCTTCTAGAAGCGATGCAGGGAATGGAGTCCGTTCTCTCATAGATGAGATGATTGTAAAAGGCTTGAGCCTCTCCACAAGCTGGCTCTTGACATCTTCAGGAGTTAAAGGGCCATCATAGGGTAAGAGAGTATCCGGGAAGGTGGTGATTTCAACGGTAGGTTTGAGTGATTCAAAATGCTTCAAGGCAACTCCTTGATAATCATCAAGAACAGCCAATCTGACAGGTGATCGAGGAACGGGAGGCATGATGATAGATCAACAGTAGTTTGAGTGGCTTCTGAATTTGAATTGTTGTAGGTTGTCCAAAATATATAATCCGGGGCATGATTATATAATTCAATATAATTACTCTTTTTGGGTGTGATGAAATATTATACCAAAATTACGCATGTGTTTCTAGGGGAACGGAGGAACGAGGTATCCGAGGTCGGAACCAAGACATCCTTACCACATGAAGGGAGCATCTCGCCCAAACCCCACGCTTCGTAGAATAAGGGTCACCTACTTCGTAATAAGTTAGCTTTCACATGGGAACTCTGTGGGGTACCATCGGTATACGTGTGAATAGTAAGTATATACCGTGCACAAAAGTTATCTCTGTTGCTTTGGCCAATTCAACATCCAACCTGGTACAAAACGGAGAATACCTTAATTACTGCGCAAGTCGTTAAAACATGATGATTGGAGCGCATGAAATATTCAATGCTTTTTTTCCTGGCTCGCTTTTCTGTCATGGATCACATTTCCCTTGGTCGGGCTCTCTTCCGCCGATCTTTGCTTGCCCCACCACTACCTTTGGCGGGGATTTGATGGTATATCAGTACATGTAGCTCTTTCCTACCTATGGGGAATTGGTCCGATGCGCTGAACACGTATAATTCGTGGGGAACTTCTGTCGGAACCACCCCATCCCATTGGAAAGGGTAGGAGGACGCGGATAATTCTACTTTCACGCTATCGAAACTCGTGGGTCAGTTGACAAGTATAATATTGACCACAGGGGAAATTCTAAATACTTCAACTTCTTCTATCCCTCCAGACAAGTATCTACCAAAGACAAAAGCCAGTCACTATGAGCCCTTCAGCAGCAGAATTCACAGAGACCACAATGGCGAAACCTACCAAGGCCAACATTGGTGTGTACACCAACCCAGCCCATGAACTGTGGGTTGCAGAAGCAGAGCCATCTTTGGAAAGCATTGAAAAGGGCGACTCGTTGAAGCCAGGAGAAGTTACGGTGGGAATTAGAAGCATTGGTATCTGCGGGTGAGTTTCAATGCTTTTTTGGGCAAAAGATCATTCTAACAGTCATTGCAGGTCGGATGTACACTTTTGGCACGCTGGGTGCATAGGCCCTATGATTGTCGAAGATACACACATACTTGGTCATGAATCAGCTGGTGTTGTTCTAGCAGTCCATCCATCAGTCGATAGTCTCAAGGTCGGTGACCGTGTCGCCATCGAGCCAAATATTATCTGTGGCGAATGCGAGAGATGTCTTACTGGTAGATACAATGGATGTGATAAGGTCTTGTTCTTGTCAACACCACCCGTTCCAGGTCTTCTTCGCAGATACGCAAACCACCCAGCTACTTGGTGTTACAAAATTGGCAATATGTCATTTGAAGACGGAGCGATGCTGGAACCTCTGAGTGTTGCATTGGCTGGCCTAGAAAGAGCCAACGTTAAGTTGGGAGACCCTGTACTCATCTGCGGAGCTGGCCCTATCGGTCTCATCACCCTTCTCTGTGCTCGGGCAGCCGGAGCTTGCCCAATTGTTATTACCGATATTGACGAAGGAAGACTTGCGTTCGCGAAGGAGCTGGTTCCTTCTGTCGTTGCACATAAAGTCGAGAGATTATCTCCGGAGGAAGGAGGCAAAGCTATTGTAAAATCCTTTGGAGGTATCGAGCCAGCAGTTGCTATGGAGTGTACTGGGGTTGAAAGCAGTGTCGCTGCAGCTTGTTGGGCAGTCAAGTTTGGTGGAAAAGTATTCGTGGTCGGTGTAGGTAAAGACAACATGACGCTACCATTTATGAGATTGAGCACTCGCGAGGTGGACCTCCAATTCCAGTACCGATACTGCAACACATGGCCAAGAGCCATTCGACTGGTCGAGAGTGGTATTATCGATATGAAGAAGCTTGTAACCCACCGTTTCCCATTAGAAGATGCTATCAAAGCCTTCGAGACGGCAGCAAATCCAAAGACTGGAGCTATCAAAGTCCAGATCAAGAACGATGAATAAGTCAGCGATCAATATTAATAAAAACTTTTATAGCAATAGTATATATAGTGTAGATGTTCCAATTAAATACAAATACAAAGGTTTCTCCGAGTTTAGTAAAATGTGAAATGTAGAATGTAAAATGTAAAATGCGAAGATTGGCTCGTGAAATAAACCCCTAGTTGAAAAATATCGAGTGTAGAATTCATTTGTGCTTACTAATATGCAATTTCCACACCACGGAACGTTCCTAAGCTTCCCGGCGTCGGCAAAAAAGTCGACAAGCATTTCTCTCGCGATTACACTTCACCACCACGAACCCCCCGATAATCGACACCTCGAGTAACGCGAGAGTCCTTTCCTTTTTGTTGATCGGCGCATAGATTCCATAATGTCATTACATATCTCCCGCACCGTGCTGCGGCAATCTATGAAGGCTCCTGGACGGGCGGCACGAAGATTTGAATCTACCTCCACTAAGGCCACCGAAGCAGCAAAAGATACTGCCTCAAAAGCTTCAGAGAAAGCATCAGATTTCCAGTCGAAAGCTAGCGAGGGTCTTTCTCGTGTCACTTCGTCAGCAGGACCTGCTATTTCGGGTGCTGCCAAAAACCTTGGAAATGCCTTGGGAAAAGTTGGGGGAAGGACTGGAAGATTGATTGCCTTCATTGAGCGTGAGCCTTATCCGCATTCGCGTGCAAAGATTTATTTCCGATGGTTTTAGAGCTCAATGGCTAACTTTGTGTGTATAGGACAAATCCCACCAACCATCTATTACACTCGTGTTGGATTAGAGCTCACCAAATTAGTTATCCAAGGTCAAAAGATGGCACCTCCGTAAGTTGGACAACGAAGTGTGCTTTTACGAAACTGTGAGCTGACTTATGGCTTGCAGACCAGCCTCGACATTCCAATCATACTTCCAAAGATTCGTAAAGGGAATTCGATCCGGAAACCCGAGGTCAGCTTTCAGTTCAGCAGCAAACTCTAGCACCGCCACACCTACAGGTTTGCTAGAACAAGTCCGAAATATCAGCAAAGCCCAGGTGGTCTCGGGTGGTGTTATAGTCGCTGAGGTTTTGGGGTTCTTCACAATTGGTGAGATGATCGGTAGAATGAAGCTGGTAGGATACAGAGGAGACACCGGAGCTCATCACTGATCTGAGCGTGATAAAGAGGCTGTGTAGGACGTGAATGGAAGTCTTGGTGAAGTGAACGGAAAGGGGCTGGCATTCTACTTCCACCGCGGCATGAGAAGTTGCGGATGGTGAAATCGAGGTGCATTTGCACATATCCTGATACAGATTTCTTTGTACTCGTAGAACTATGTCTGTACATCACAAAAATAAACAGCATAATGGTGGTTTAGAGACTTTCTGTCCCTAATCTTTGCTCTACTCGGCGAGGAAACTCGTACTTTATATTCCACTTGGTACGGAAATTTAGGAGATACTTTCCTCTCAAACTTCAACGATAATATGGAGGATATATTCACCTCTCCTGTGGTGGTACGCTTCCTCGCGGCCTGCTCCCAAGTTTTCATCGTTTCAGAAAAGCTTATGCGTTCTATTATCCACAGTATACTCGATCGGACCAGGAATAACTGAATGTAAATCACATTGCCAAAGAGCCTCAATCATCTCAAGTTTGGATTACTTACACGTGATAATACATAAGTACGGAGTAGAGGAGACAGACTGATGTGATTGACCACTTTCCTAGATGAACGGGTGTCTTAGGGAGACTGCACGAAATCAATGTCTCGAACGCGCATGATAATACTACTCCTACCCCCAAGAAAGTCTCGGCCGTTTTTGCATGATAGATCGAATTCGAAGACAAGATTCAGATGTTCGTTACATAAAAAAGATTATCAGCAGCCTCTAAGTTGACATATACCACATGTATGCATTCTAGTTCGCTGGTATTTTTCTAATCTTCTCCTTTCCTAATTTCCCTTACGATGCTGTGCTCGAGACGAATCCGATAAATTAATCTCCCCATCTGTCGATATCAAGGTTACTATTCATCTCGTTGGAAGGAAGCTGGGAGATGGCGTCCAGGGATACCCAGTGGTTGCAGATAGATATGTACTGTACCGTTCCTATCGACCACCTTGGCACGGTAGATAAGCTTCCACAATGCCGTTTGGTCTTTCATATTTTCGAGCTTGAAGCCTCTTTGACTTTATGTTATAATTCATTTGTGATGGTCAACGAGGTAGGTACAATTATATACAAACGATGTATAGGGGGTTTCATGAGGTAATCGAAGTATTTTTAAACTTCCCCTTGAATGATAGAATATAACAATAGAACAAGTTATCGACTTGTTTGTTTACCAAACTTTTTTATAATCAAACAAATACCGACCTAGTCAAGGATACCTACCTACTAATTAGAATCTTCTCTTTCTGTGATGTAATTTATTATGTATGGCAACCAATCCATGACCTTTACTTTATTTGTATCCTACTTCTTCTTCTCTTGGTAGAGTACATGAATACCCTGGGGACTACAGACGATACACGTTGAATTTTAACGCTTTGAGCTTGTTACACCTGAATAAGTTACCTGGAATTAACGGCAAGTTCACGATAAACAGCCTCGCAGCTTGTATACATACCTACCTCCCTACCTATCAGGAAAACCTAATAAATAAACCATTCCTGGTAGCGGCGGGTGCACTTACTTGGACTTGGACTTGGACTTGGACTTGCACTTGGACTTGGACTTGGCTTTGGCTTTGGCTTTTCCCTTTTATAAGCTACTGTGTGAACCTTTCATTACTAGGTATTTTACTTGGTTTCTGCTTTCCAGCTTCCAGTTTCCAGTTTCCAGTTTGCTTGCCTGTCTAAATAAGGTGCTTGTCATCTGCCGTCCACCCCCCATCCCCTTCCCTAACTACATATCAACAACCTCAGAGAAAATACTTTATTTGCCCATCATGGCTTATAATGCTATTGATCAAACGGATCATGATAAAGATCATCATGATGACCACGAATTAAGCTCTGCTTCTTCAAATTCTCCATTCCAAGGCCTTTTACCAAGTCATCTATTTTTAGATGCGCAGAATAGCGATACGAGCCACAGCCAAACATGGTCTCCAGAAAACCCACAGAGTCTCAGTCAAATGGTACAATCGATTACCTCGAAAAGTACGAAAACGAGTGCCACTTATGATATTCTAGAAGAAGACGATTACGAAGAGCACGGGGTAGAACGAGAGCAAACGTCTCCCTCACTAGGGCTATCACCAGAAAAGAAGAACGTCACATCACCGGAGGAATCTCCACCGGAGAAACCCCTAGTCGTGAGCATTCCACGGCCCCTTCCACGGCAAAATACAGCCACAAGGTCGTCCAACAATACAACCTCTCCTATATCACCTCGTGCAGTATTCCCAATAGAACGTGCGCCCATTGTTCGTACAGCATCAGGTCACAGCATTGCCTTGCGACATCCGACCCCCGACCTACAGACGCTGCAAGGGGCTTATGTAGGGAATATTGATAAATTAGAAAGGACAGCAGAACGATTGAGTATGACCTCCTCTATCGACGATGCCATTCGAGAACTCCATATGGAGCAGAAGCGCTCGGATAGTCGCCGATCATCAATTCTGTCCCAGCTTAACGAAATGCCGCAAGTGTCGAGAGAAGTTTCCAATCCCAGTTCCATCATCGAGTTAAATAATGCAGCGAGGTCGGGAGGGTATTCGCCAGCCGGGTATATGATGTCTCCAAAAGGCTCCTTCTCCACTACTACACTAGCAAGATCCGCATCAAAGAGCTCGAGATTCGGGAATCGACCAGAGCCAGAGTTGGAAGGAAGACCATTGGATTCATTCGTCAATATATCGTTCCCATCACTTGTTGAAAACCCAACGCCTTCAATCGCGGAACAAGATGAACGTTCTGCGACCTTAACACGCCCAGCTGCTGACAACTTCGGCACAGAAAATATGGCAGAGAGTAAGGCAGAGCATATGGCGGAGAATGTAGCAGAAAACATGGCAGAACAGGTCAACGAGTCTCGGCCTCAAACCTCAACATCAACCAACACATTTGACCAGGCGGAGCGGATGTTTGCAGATTTTGATGGAGTTCATTCTGCACCTCTGAGAACATCTTTCGACTACGGCTTGAGTATGGATGAACATAGAAGGACTACATCGGGGGCGGCTGACTTGGAGCTACATGAAGATGAAAGGGGATATACATCTGCTGCACAACTTTTGCCGGGGGACAATGACCAGAGAAGGATATCATCCGGGGATCGACTGTCAATGGCTAGACCACAGACATACGCTGACCCAAGTACTGGGCAACAGATGGTTTATTATCCAGCCAGAGTTCCTATGATGCTCAATCTACCCCAGAAACTCTCAAAAAATCCATCTTCTATGGCAAGAAATAAAAGAAGGTCTCAGGTTCTCGGCAACATTCCACCTGCGGCTCGGCAATCAGCTGTCTGGCTACCGGACGTGTTGGAAGTGAACGGTGAGCCTCTGCCCGAGAATGACGAAGCGCAAAACCTGGAATACATTCCTCAGCACCAGAGAATGAATATGGGTGGGCGGAGAAATACACAGGATCTATCGCACATGCCGCCCCACTTGAGAGCAAACTTATTTTTCGAACTGCCAGAAGGGCAGACAGGTGCTATGGAGTTGAAAGACCAGTCAGCTGTTGCTACATTGGACAGCATCCTGGATGCCTCTGCGCATGCTCCCGTTACCGCATTTGTAGACCATGCAATTGCCGGACATCTTGGCTCCGAGGTGTATGGGAAATCGCATCAACGAAACAAGAGCAACACTCAATTATTGACGCCGGATAAGCAAGATAATCCAAAGAAACGGACGAGCTCATTCAACTTTCTGTTGGGTCGTCGGGGGAGTAGTAACAATTTACTGGGAGACAATGACAAACGTGCTGCTACAATGACTAACATTCAGGTAGAAAGAAAGGCGACGAGATCTCCTATCGAGGATGACGAAGATGACATCAATAACAAGGACACAACACCTTTACGGCATACGCGCGGAGTCAGTGGTGCTACTGATCTCATACGGGCGGAGGCGGGTGAAGTAGAGAGCGAAGAGGATGAGGGTCAAAGGGACGATGAACTTTACCACGGCCCACCGACCACACTTCTTGCCGAACTACAGTTGCGCAAGCAGCAGCAGAAGATTCGGACTCGGCCCCCACTAAATGTGAATGGCATGCAGTCTACATTACTCGAGATGGATACCGTTCTACAAAGGCAGCAGCAATCCAGGAAACAAAAGCGGGTCAACCTTGCATGGCAAATTGGTAATAATGACGACCCAGATGCTGAAGAAGACGAGGACGTCCCCTTGGCGATGTTGAATGTAACAAGAGCCCACGCTCAAGAAATCAATCGGCCGCTCGGTTTAATGGAGAAACGTGCTTTAGAAGACAATGAGCCACTCAGTCGACGTAGGGCCAGGCTGACGGGTCAACCTATGCCAATGCCAATGCCTCGAGCTAATACTATGATGCACATTCCTACAGGCAGTCCTGCTCTGGAAGAAGACGAAGGAGAAACACTCGCACAACGCATCCGTCGTCTGAAAGAACGTGGGGGCACAGCAACTGGGTTGCCGGCTACGCGACCTGTCAGCGGCGATTTTGCATCTGAGCTGATGAGTCAACTCGGTGGAGATCTAATGAATGATGATGGCAAGGGCAAGGAAAATGAAGTCTTGACAGCTCCTGTCAACGAAGAAGAGGAAACCCTGGGCCAGAGACGCAAACGTCTCCAAGCAGAGCGTGAAGCTCGTGAAAAAGAAGTTGGCACTGCTGGTGATGCAGAAGTAGTCCCGGAGCCTTTAGTCATTAACAAAATGAATAGTATGGCAGACATTCTCTCCGCGCACCCAGCTGCCGGCGCAAGTCGAAATTCCTCTTTTAGCAAACCATCCCGACCTGCCGGTGGTCTTCTAGGGATGCATGAGAAGCAAAGCCAGCTAAGAGCTACTACAATCAACAATCTGGTCACACAACAAAATTCGGCTCCCCGCGTCGTTCGTGTCCACAGTGGCACGCACAATGATTCCTATGCCCAAGGACAGCCTGGTATGATAAGACCACACACTTCGTACAATCTTCCAAGCAGTGGTAACCCGCAATTCACTCAACCCGCCTCCATGAACCCTATGACGACCCAATATGGAAATGCCTACCTTAACATGGGATATCAAAACACCATGCCTATGGGTGGCTATAATAGCATGATGCCAATACAGATGCAGATGCAAAATATCCACACAAACCCCATCACTGGCATGCACACTGGGCCTGGTGGCGAACCGCTTAATCAGGGGCAACTTGACATGGTCGAGCGATGGAGACAAAGTGTAATGCACTAAATCTTTCCTCTTATCCAACTCGTGATTTTTTATTCTTTTTCATTTCTCGTCTGCTTTTGTGACATTCAGGTTTCCAGGAGTGCGAGGAAGTACCAAGCAACACTCGAAAGGATGGATTTATAGATAGATACACATGGAAGCAAGCATTTACAGTTGGCGTTTCACTTTATTTTAAATTTGATATTTGAATTTGGAGAGATTTTGGGATACTTGGGGGTTGGAGAGTTGCGAGATATACCTTTTTCACCCCCGCCTGTTTTTAGAAGATGGTAGGGTTGAAAGCATAGCGTGGAATATATGGATGGCATTAAAGACGTATATTTTTCCCCCCCTTTTGTGGCAAGGATGGATCGTTTGTATAAGATACTAATATGGATGGATTTGGATTTGAATTTGGATTTTGATCTGGATTTGGGATTTTGGGAATTTGGGATTTTGGATTGGAGAATCTGAAACTGGTTATTTAGATGGGAGGGTTTGAGGAACCTTGGGAGATGGTTACCGTGTTGTGCTGTGCTGTGCTGTATTGTGCTAATGGTGGGTGGGTGTGTTTATATAGTAGATACTTAGAAAGTGGTTTACGGAATTTTTTAATAATTAGAGAGATTTACTCGTTGATAAACTTTTCATTTTCATTTCTTATTTCTTATTTCTTATTTAATGAGAAGTTTTGTGATGTGATGTGGAGATTGATTGATGTTTTATATATGTATAGTTGAATGGTTTATAAAATGTAGTATTGTTGTTGGATGGATATTTACATATTAGGTATTTTTTAGAAATGTTTGTTGAGAGATTCTAGATTTAATACTCCGTATATCTTTTCTACTTGATGATATTTATCTTTTTTATATTTAATTATTTAATTTACTAATTCACCAATTCACCTCCCCTTGAATCAATGCTAGTAATAATAATAATAATAATAATAATAATAATAATAATAATAATAATAATAATAATATAAATAGATATATATTGTGAGAAAATTGGAATTATAAATCAAATATATAAAGGTTTTTAATCAATCAATTATATAATCTCTTATAATTAAATATAAAAGGAAAGTTTTTATTTCTTCTTTTTACAATAATTAACTTTCTATATATATACATTTGAATTTATATAACATCAACTTTAAAACCATTATGAACCCTGTTTTCTTCATAAATGATGTATTACAATTTAATCTAATCCAGCTTTCTCTTCCAATTCCCTCCTCACAGCATGCTATCGGGATGCACGTATCTCGATCTACCACTTTTACAATATATATATATATTCTATTTATTTCCCTCACCTCCCTCACTTCAATCATTTTTCTTAGAACTTCAATCTCTAATTCTCTGGTTAAGGTTTTATAGAGTTTAATTATAATCAGGGGATTGAGGGGGAAGTTGAGAGAATTTAAGTTCTGTGGATAGATGGATGGATGGATGGATAGAAGGAGAGAAGAACAGAAGAACAGAGGAGATCGGTTGTTGATGTGATAAAATGGATGTATTATTGGAGGTTGATGGTTGATAGTTGATACTTGGGAGGTCTCTTTTTTGGCTTTGTTTTGTTTGTGCAGCGAGGATGATAGGGATGACGGGGGTGATAGGAGAAGATAGGAAGAAGATGTTTAATGGGAAGGGTGATTGATTGGAGGTTATGTATGTTGAGGGAGGTTTGGGTTTAGGTTTAGGTTTGAGTTAGGGTTTGGTGTGATGGGTGATGTCGCTGTTTTGGAGGAGTCGGGAGAATAACGCGAGAGATGGATAGGTGGTAGTAGATCTATTTATCTGTAAGATCACAGTAATCAGGGAAGTATAGTTGTGAGTCGAAAGTTCATATTCTTAATTCAATATGTAGATTTAAGGATAATTATCCAATATCTAACAGATATCTTCAACTTTTTGTTCCTTGCCATCATGTGGCCCTAGGTCTAACTTCAAGGTGCGTCCAAATAGTTCCAAAAGAATCTCGAAACAGATTTTAGAAATGGCAGGGTCGTATCGACCTTTTGATAGTTCGTCACGGATGAATGCGTCTATTTTACTTATCTTAGTAGGTGTTGATCAATTTATTCGTGAAGAAAAAACCTACGCTGTGCCCAAGCAACCTCATACCAACTAAAGGTAATACCTTTCTCCCTCAAAGTTTTTCTAATAATATCTCTTCCCTCAGGAGGTACATGATTATCCTTGCATCCGTGAATCAGGGCAAGTTCTCCCTTGATCTCGGAAGCACGCGCTAAACTGTCGTCTTTTTTACCGAGACCAAGAGTGGCGCTATGGAGATCAGTTGCGAAATATGTTACCGCTGCCGCAACGCGGGGATCGAGAGCACAGCGGTAGGCAAGATGGCCGCCGAGACACATTCCTGTGCTGCCAATGCGGCCATTGCAGGTAGGGAGTGACAGGAGATAATCGATTGTCAGGGTAGAGTCTTCATCATAGGCTTCGAGGGTCTGTGGGTGTATGATTAGAGATTGGCTTGAAAGGCATTGGCTCAAAATCTACAGGGGTCCGAATCGTAGTCTAGATCTAGAGGTTTCATGCTGGAGAAGCATACCTTTGTGATTTTGTATTCATTTCCTGCATCAGTTCCGGGAACATCATAAGCTAAAGGCTCCGGACCAGTGAATTCATGATACGACGAAGGCGCTGCAACAATATAGCCTTGACCAGCGATTTGTCTTGCGAATCTGGCAACTGGTCCAGTGACTACGATGAAGAGTATCAGCAAGTATATCCATGTGTAGCACGTGAAGATGCGGGGTTACAAGATAAGAGAGGTAGAAAACACGGGGTGGGTATAGATGTCCATTGAGCAAGCCTTATGGGACTCCAAACGATGAGTTGTCACTTCAGCCCAACGTCTATCTCCATGATAAGGAAATGAAGAAAGATTAGATTGAGACCAATAACATGACATGAAGAAATACTGATAGGGGATGTTGATAACCCCACCAAACCCCCACTAACCCTGATAAATCTCACTGAAAAGAACAACACCAGGGAATCGTCTGTGATAAAAGAGAGGCTTCAGTTTTGAACCTTAAATACTAGAACATATGGCACTACACACGCTTGAGGGTAGTTTGGAATAGTAGGGTGGAAGAGGAAGATTCCTAGAGATGGTTAGTTTGACTCTTGTTCAGGAGGGGAATGTTCAAGTTGTACTCATCGATCCCTCTTTACCCCCCGCTTTGGTTGCAACATCTTGGTGAGATTCTTGAATTAACATTCTGATAGTAATTAATGTATGATATAGCTAGATGTCTTGTTGAGTGTTGAGTGTTGAGTGTTGACTGTTGACTGTTGACTGTCGAAACTACTTGAAGCTTGATATGCAAAGAGAATTGCATAAAATCAGTAATACCAGTAGGTAATATCAGATAGATGAAAGGTTGAGATACTGACTGTCAGATGTGTTCTAACTTGGGTCACCGTAGCCCCTCATGGAAAAGTAAGCTAACCTGAAAAGCAAATAGTAAAAGCCCTTGAAGCCTTACGATGGTTTTAATGTTTTAATTCACCGGCCCCGATGCTTCCGAGGACAGTCGAGTAGGGGGTTCACTGGTGCTTCTCATTTATCCGTCGTAATCTGTCGTAATCTTTAATCCATGTCACTGATTTTAATATTCATACTACACACAACATTTTTGGATGCCCTGTCCTTTTTTGCTTGCATCAAATACATCAAATACATCAAATACATCAAATACATCAACCACCAACCATCAACCATCAACCATCAACCGCGATAAGGAATTTGTTTCTCAAATTACTCGGTACCTTCTATTGCAGAATCTTGCCCCATTCATCCCATTCTTAATAAGCTCTACCAAATTAGCTCTTCATAGATTTTACCTCTAAACAGCTTCTCAAACTTCCACATCAGCCATACAATCAATCCACTGACCACATCACATCCCATCACCATCCGCCAAACATAATTGGGACGAAAGGCTTTTCACAAATTGAAGTAATGTCTAGTGTGAAAACAAGACGGCAAACAGCTGCCGCTTCTACTCCATCAACTCCGACGCCAGCAGCTCGGGAACAAGCCATCATGAATGGTAATGGTAATGGTTCAGCACACAAACCCGAGGAGGTAGAATATCCTAAAGAGAACATATTTCTCTTCTGGCCAAATGTTATCGGTAAGCTTGATCAAATATATGTGCAGATACTTGGCGCATTCTAATCTTTTCTAGGATACTTTCGAATCGTTCTCGCATTAGTATCCCTCTACTACATGCCCCTTCATCCACGAACCTGTACTCTCCTATACAGTATCTCCTGTCTTCTCGATGCTCTCGATGGATATGCGGCCAGAGCCTTTGAACAATCTACAAAATTTGGCGCGGTTTTGGATATGGTGACAGATCGCTGTACCACAGCCTGCTTATTGGTCTTCCTTTCTTCTGCATGGCCTCGATGGGCTCTTCTTTTCCAAGGACTTATCTCTCTGGATTTGGCTAGTCATTACATTCACATGTATGCGACTCTTGTTATGGGAGGAGGGGATACTAGTCACAAGCAAGTCGATAAATCTAGAAGCTGGATCTTAAACTTGTACTACACGAATAAGGTACGTACACCCATGCATACAATGCCTGCCGATTAATCTAACAATTGGATGACAGACTGTCCTCTTCCTCTTCTGTGCCCTTAACGAAGTGTTCTTCATCGCTCTCTACCTCCTTTCCTTCTCTTCCCCACTTCTCTCACCATCTCTTCTTCAAGTCGCCAACAATGGCGAAGCTGGAGCCACCCTCATCCCCGGGAACCCTTCCAACCCATCCGCAGCATCTCTTTTTGCCAACCCATATAGCGCTGGCGCATTGGAGCTTGCACGCGCAAATAAGATGGACTCTTTCTGGCCATGGGTTATTGCTGGTGTCTCTTTCCCCGTCATGGCTGGAAAACAAATCATCAATGTCGTACAATTGGTCAAAGCTAGTCGATGGTTGGCTGAAGGAGATATTGAAATGAGGAGAGCGGCAGGATTACCAAGACAGAGAAAGACGAATTGATCACCTCGTTTCCTTATTTCCGTGGATCTGTTCGAGTCTCTCGACTCATTTGTGTAAGATGGGACTTGTCAAGTCCCTAACACAAATCTACACATCGGCTGTGTAGTTGTATCAGACATATTGGCCATGTACAGTGCCATTTTTGCATTCATTCGTTCGTTTATTCACTCATTTATTTCGAAATCACACAATAGGGAGCATATGTAGAGAGGAATGGCGTCGGAACTAATTTGCTGCCATCCCTTTACACGATAGGCATGTGAAGTAGGGTAAAGGTTTGCATTCAATATAATAATAATATTTCACTTGCATTTGGATTGCATTTGAATTGTACTTGTATATGCAATAGCTATTTGTGAAGCAACGAAAGAGGATTTTCTGAGACATGCTCTAGGGGAAATAGGTTATTGCCTAGGCTTTGGTGGGAGAGAGGGCTTGCATTTGATGAAGAAACGTTGATCAGAACTTCACATGCACATATGCGGTGTACAGTACTTAAATAGTATATGTAATAAATATGTATAGCCTTGATGGTCGCGTGTTCATGTGAAGATCTTGGGATGGACTTCGGATGAATAGCCGTAATGTACAGTACATACCTATCGGAAGATGATAATCCGAAGTATGGTTGTGTGGAGGTGGGTACATGGATTTTTCGACGGGCAATTTTTTTGATTGCATGCAGGTAGGTAGGTAGGTGGTATTAGATGGTTTGGGGATTGTTTTGGGATTGTTTATTGAAGATTGTTGGTTTTTGGAGATTGTATAGGTAGTATGTATAGTAGGTATGGAGTTTGGAGTTTGGATAGTTTGTAGATGTTTATTTGTATGGAGTATCGGTTATATTTAGGCTTGGTTGTATATACGAGGGAGTATCGGATATTTTAGCCGGGAAGGGGGAAGGTTGAGATATGTGGTGTATGTATGTGTGTATAGTGTGTATTAGATAGAGTACTAGATAGGTAGGTAGGTAGGTAGGTAGGTAGGTAGGTAGGTATGTATGAATATTCGGTGTTTGGGTTTCAGGTTTGAGATTTGGGAGAGGGGTGTGAAGATGGATGTTGGATTGTTTTGGTGTAGTATGGCGGGATGCGGGATGGCTGAATGGAAGGGAAGATCTAGATGTTGTTTGTTCCTATTGCGGTAAAGTAAATGGCTCTTTTTCTGTTTTGGGGCTGTTAACGTTGAGTTACGGTCACCGGTGGTAGGCATAAGCATAGCCGAATCCAACCTTGTAGGGGATTTGAATGAATGAATGAATGAATGAATGAATGAATCCAATGTGAATGTTGCTTTCGTTCTATATTTGTAGATATTTAATTATTTATTAAATAATTAGTACAATCATTGTAATCATATATACACTCATGAGTTTATGTCTTTTTTCGTTTTTTCTTTTTAATTTATAAATATCCATACATTGATATAATTTTAATTAAATTCATTGGAATTGGATAAATTATATGAAAGCGCTGAGTTGACATGTGGTCGGTCTCCTTTCACTGCTTTTAACACGCACATAATACATAAAATTCCATCCCCCCCTTGTATAGCGGGGGTTTAACTCCAAGTACCTCCGTATCTATCGTGTTTGCAGCCATCATCTCCACTTCAGCCTCGAATATCCAATCTTCACTGGTTTCTCACAACTTCACTAAAATCACAGATTCGACCCAACCCACAATCTTTTCGCTTCTAGAACGAGGCAAACCAAGGATTCATTTCCTCTCCACTCAATCCCCAATCTTCATATCAATTTAGACCGACTTATGTCAGTAGATTCTTCCTACAATTACCATTCTTATACCTCGATCCAAGCCAAATCCTACTTAGTATGCAATGCTATTCACAAGCTGGACAATAGACCAGGGCAAAAATCTACTAATACAACGCAACCCTACACCACATTCCCATTCCACATTCACTCGATTTCTATAACTCTCTAATCACAAGCTCGACCTTTTCAATCATTCATTCTGTTCTTGGTATGCATCAAATTAAATACAAGAATAGGGATTCATCACTTCCTACTTCTCGACTCTCTCCAACAACATGTCAGCTACGTCACCCCCACCCCGATCTCGATTCTCACCAACTCCGGTTGAAGAGACGGTGAAGAAAGTAAGAAAGTTCGCCATTGAACCTGTCGAGACGACAACAAGAAGTAATAAGAAGGAAAATGTAGAGGTTGTCGAGGATACAACTGCAACCAACGACTTGGCCGTTGCTGCCCCGCCAAAAAGACGTTTCCTGCCTCAACCCGTTGAAACCACACAGAAGTCAAGCAAAGCGAGGGTACCCAACCCTCTGCCAACCCCAGAGGCTACACCCGAGCTCAAATCACAAGCTCCAGCTACTGCAGATTCACCGGCTCCTCGAAGGAGGTTCACACCGCAGTTAATAGAAACGTCACAGAGGTTCAAGAGATCAAATACTCCGGGCCCCGCTACTTTACCCATCGATAAGACTGATATAACGCCTGTATGTTCTGCGACTTTTCCTTCCCAATGGATAGTTTCTAACGTTTCCTAGGGTACAAATCACATTTACGTAGACAGAAAACGAAAATATATACGACCCATACCATTTCCTTTAGCACCCGAGAATACTCCAGTTTCGTCATCTACAGATGTACACTCTCAAATTCCATCTTTTCCTCCACGTCGACAACCCTCCATGCGACCTCACCTTAATACTAGACAGACCACGCGATCAAATTCTTATCAACCAGAGTTGGACCCTATAGAGTCAGATGAGGATTCGGATGAGGAGCATGATGGCGAGTCTACTCCATCATTATCTGGTTCATTAGGATCTTCCGAAGATTCTATGCTAAGAATGCAAATGGCACGAACACGAGAAAGTTGTGATGAGCGATTTTCGGGTTATCTCCTGGCACTAGCTGCCAAAGCTGCCGAGAAACAACTCATGGAACAAGCATTGGCGGCATTTCCCAACGAGTCTGCATACGAAATTGTAGAACATTTCTACGATAGGGAGATTGATACAGCTTCAGAGGAAGATTCTGTAGAAGGTGTGGGCATGTTAGTGGATGATGCACATATTCAGGAGTTACGAAGAAATTCTACTGAGGTTGGGTGGGCAGCAAAAGAAATGCAGCATCATCAAGAGAATCTGAATCGGTTGAGAGAAGAGGAGGCCAATAAGAGAGTAGCTGAGGAAGCCACAGCCCCAACATTTAAAGATCCATTTTGGACAAATGGAATGACGGATAAAAACCAGCCGAGCGGTACTCCTCAAGATAAACAGAAAGAAGCTGAATTGGCTCGAATGCGCAACGCGGCATCTCCTCCAATGCTTGGTGGTGAATTAACATTTCGCATGTGTCCGTCACCCAAGGCGACAAAATTCGAATCCGATCAAAGACATGACGTACAGCTGCATCGAGTCGAAGATGGTGGAGGATTATGGGGCGGGTACTGCGTTGCCGAAGAAAGTGAGCAATATCTCTCCCCAGATATTGTCAAAAGACCGCAGATGATTGCGACCCCACATATTGAAATGGATGATCCGTTTTCTTCCGCATTTTCAAACGCCGTACCAGACGCTCCTGCCAAATCGTCGGAAAAAAGCAAGGGTGGTCTTCAGATGCTAAGTGGACTGGACGATAGGTTAAAAGCCGAGGTTGCAAGGTCCAAAGCTGAAGATAGGTTGTTGGAAGAATTTGACGATACGTTCGTCACGCAAGTTTATAATTACCTTTCCCTTGGATATCCATCTTTAGCTCGGCAATACGACGAAGAACTTGCAAAGATTTCTAAAATTTCTGAAGATGAGCTGCGAGTAGATGACAAAAGTCAAAATATTAAAGGTCATATCGGATTGGTGGCCGTTGATGGCCATGTAGAAGAGAAGACTGGAAAATCTATCAACGGCGAGAGATGCGAAGGTGGTTATGGCGCAAGATGGAAAGCTTTACGAATATATATCTTAGAATGGGCTCGTCAACATCCATCAATGTCGAATGGTGCCGCATCACCGAGTGCATGGGGCGTACGAGCCAGAAGAGGAAGTTGGGCTATATGATTTAATTTTTCATTTCTTTCGAATAATGGTATATGAATTATATGTGTTGTCATTCGCTAGCGAAGTGTATCGCAAAGTTATACACAAGTATAAAGTTGGGCAAGGCGTTACTGTATAGGAGAATGCTTTCGATTTTGTTTTGTTTTAGTTATATTTATGAGATAAACGACGGCCGGGATATCTCTATATCGTGAGAAAGGGCTATGGAAAAGGAACATTCATTGTTATTAAATTTTGGGGACTATCGAGGCGAAAAGCTTTTTTCGTTTCTCCTTGGTCGCTTCATTTGTACATTCAATTCGTTCAATTCGTGGGGATGGCTGTAGTAGATGAAGGGGTTAGTTGAGCGAGGTTGGGAAATGAGGAATAAATTAGGAAAAGTGGGAGATTTGAAAGATATACATATATATAAAGATTGTTTTACATTTTACAGTTTTATAGTTTTATACGAATTTATGATGGATATGATGAGGATGATTGGTGATTTTTGAGCGATGGATTATAGATTTTAGAAGCTTTTTGTTGATGGATGATGGGGAGATTGAGAGATGGAGAAATCGAAATGCGAGTGGAACTTGGAACTTGGAATTTGATGGGAATGGGGTATAGATATGAGTATAAATATGAGTATAAGTATGAGTAAGTAAATATATGATCTTATACTGGAAATTGTTGATGATTAGGTTGCTTTATGTTGTTTTATGATTGTAGTTGTAGAGTTGTAGAGTTGTAAGGCTTGATAAGTGTATGTATATATATAGAATAGATGAATAAAAAAAAAATTGAATAAAAACAAAGAAGAAATACATATATAATAAAAATTACAATATAATCAAATAATAAACAGATGAATAACATGATACGATACATATAAACATTTAAACATCCGAGATTATATAATTTTACACAGAGAATTCTATCTAATTTTTGAATTTGAAATTTCAAATTGAGTTTGGGTCGTGAAGATATAGGAGCGATATCTAGTTATTGTGGAGTTTGTAGAATCTACGAGTAGAGAGTAGGGGGGTAAGTTTAAAGTTGGTGTTGGTGTGGGTGTGGGTGTGGGTGTGGGTGGTGTAGATGATATGGGGTAGGGTAGATTGGGAATGGGAGTGGAGGAGAGCGGGGAGGAATGAAGGATGGATGGGAGAAGGGGAGAAGGGGAGGAGATCAATCTCAAAATTCAAAGGAAAAGGAGGAAGAAAAAGGATCAAAGAATAAATGGTTGGAAAAAAAGAATGAGATGGGAAGAGGGAATGGATGAGGTGATGAGGATGAAAGAGAGGAAGAGAAGAGGGAGAGATTAAGAAATAAAATTATTTAATATAAAATATTTATGCTTAAAGTATTTGTTTTATTTTATAAAATATAATAATATATTTATTTTATAAATCTATCAAATAAAAATAATATCTAGTATAAACATCGAATAATTAATTTTATACAATTATAAAAAGTTAAGATTATTTTTTGGTTATAAAAATATATCAAATTATAATATTGAAAAAAAAAACTATTATTTATTTAAATAAAAATATCTCAGATTATCTTAAAATATTTTATTTTTTTTGTTTAATCTTCATTATAAAAATCAATTATTTTATTCTAAAATAAAATAAAAACTTCTTTTAATATTCAAAGATTAAATATTAAAATTATAAATTTATTAAATATAAATAACATCTAGATTAAAAATTACTTAATTATTTAATATAATTATAAAAAGTTAAGATTTTATTTGACTTTAAAAATATATTATATTATAAATTTGAAAAGAATAACTATTATTTATTAAGTAATATTAAAACAGCTTTTAATTTAATCTAACCCAATCTCAGGTTCTCATATAGATATTTAGTATCTAAAAGAGTATAACCACCCATCATTATCATTAATTAATTAATTGATAAATATCAGATAAGACTTGACTAAACTAGACTAGACTGGGCTGGGCAAGATTGAGTATATAAATGAATGAAATATAAAGTCCAGTATCGGAGAAGCTGTAAGATTAGATATACAACAAAAACTATAAGATATATAATTTGGTATCTATAGTATAGTTTAGTTTAGTTTGATATAGTATAATATGTTGATATTAATAATATAATAGTTTATATATTTGTATTTGTATTTGTATATATACAGGATATTAATATTATAGAAGAGGGAAGAGTATTAGATTAAGTATAAGATTATCTTGTTTTATTACTGGGTGGGGGATTTAATGATCTAGAGGATTTCCTATTGAGGACTTTTAAGAAAGATCTTTTAGATGGGATACGGAGATAGATATCAATATCAAATTTAATAGAAAATATAGAAAGTCAATGATTGAGTGATTGATTTAGTAAAGGAAGAGGGAGCAAGCAAAATGATGTTTTATAATTATATTATAAAAGTGATAAAATCGAGATATATATATATGTGTATTTTGATAATATATTGTAAAAAAGAATTGAAAGAGAAAACTGATTAGATTATATTGTAATATATTATTTATAAAGAAAACCGGGTTCAAATTAGTTTTGGGATTGAAGTTATATAAGTTTAAAAGTATATATATAGAAGGTTAATTATTATAGGAAGAGAAGATAAAAGCTCTTTTTTTATATTTAACTATAAAAGATTATATGATTGATTTAATTAAAACCCTCTATGTATATGGCCTATAATTCCAACTTTCTCACAATATTATAGTAAGTGGCTATCTATTCATTGAGTATCTTGTGTAGAGGTAGGATTATAGATGAAGGAGCACCTAGAGTTGATATTTTACAGGGCGAGTAAAATTTTAACGTGGCTGTTGTGTTAATTACATATAATAACGAGAATGGAATACAGTAAAGATACCAAAGAACTTAGAAAGACGAACAAATCATTCATGATGGCGTTGGGTTGCTGGTGATACTTGGGACCCGAGTTGAAGGTTAGAACGCCAATAACTGAGATAATGTCTTTTTTGGTGTTATCATGCAATCTGAGGATAGGAAAGACTTGGAAGGGTATTCCTAACGGTGCATAGCCTTACTGGGGTTGTAGTAGTCACAAGTACATCTGTTATGAACTTATCATGGAAAGTAGAGATAGAAAAGCTCGTGACATGTTGAAGAGAAAATCCCCCTCACTCAGGGTCTGTTATACCGGAAACAAGCAGGACAATGCTTTAACTTACTTACTAGAATAACTCCAAGTGTGGACAGATATTCAAATGGACTAAAATTGAAGACAAGTCTGCTACAATGGATAGTTGATCTAAATCAACGCATCGTCATGTAGAGAAGAGTAAGCGAGATTCTACTCCCGTCAACACCATCCAATCTGTAAGCTTTCTAATAATAGAAGAAAGTCTATCCACAGTATGAGGCTCAACACGACAAATGGCGTATTTAGAGCTGCGGCTGAAATAAACCACAAATCTAGAACTCTCAGAACCTTCTGTGCAAACCTACTCCCATGAGGAGCGAACTCAATTTTCCTCTTCACTAGACAAAAAAGAATAGAGACGTCATTATAAACAGGCATGATCCCAGATTCGCATGTCTTCCTGTTCCCGCAAGTTCTACCTAGTTGAACGGTCCTCCCAGAAAAACGAAAATATCCATCTTTATATAGACCATGACCGTGCAATAATGCGCTTCATCAAGCGCAGAAGCGGCTCTTGCCCCTATTTTTGGCACCTTGGGTGTCTTTCCGCATAATTCTGAATGAAACGATAGTCGGAGAATAACCACGTTCCTCTTAGGGCGAGGGTTCGTGGGTTCATCTGAAGTTTATGTGTTTATCTTTTATCAGGACTAGAGATACCTAGATAACATACCCAAGAATAGATAACCTTTGACGGACGTATCGATATGGACTAGTGCATAAAAATATAGTTTCGGCCATGAGCGAATGGAAGTCAAATTTTGGAGCTCATGATCTTGCAACTGCAATTCAAGGTTCGGAAGTATTCCCCGGAATATCAATGGTGGAACATATTGTAAAGGCTGAGCCAAGGTACAGGCCGGTCGGCCAAATAGTGTTGCCGTGTCCTTGACACACAACCTTGAGATTGTAAAATGAAGATCATCGTATTTTACCCTCGGTGGCTTATCACGTGAGAGTCACATGCGATCCACATGCCAAAGCCACTTTTCCTGGGGTTTGCCTTACCACCTAGGATTATTAGTGTAGATTAGATTAGTGTAGATTAAAGTACGGTACTTAATAGCAACCCATGAGATGATCTAGAAGATTGAAGAAGCAAGCGTTAGTGCATAAACCCAAAAAAGGGGGAAATGGTATGTCTCAAACTAACTCAGAGTTCCAGACTTCCTAGACTCTCAACCTCCTGATAATCTTAGTCATTCCCACGTGTGGACGACGGAAGGAGAGACAGGAGATCGTAAGTAGTCTGTCATGTATGTATCTTGCCTTGAGGCCCGATCCATCAACCGCTCTGATGAGTCTCGGGAGGATTCATGAATAGTGAGACCAGCTACCAAAGTCTCGGGGAATGTGCGTTTGCCCGCATACTAGGGGATTTATGAGCACATTAAAGGTTACCATGCGATCTATATCCAATATCCACTTCAAATATACCGATCCCTATCAATATTGATAAGTCTGATACGAATGCAGATGAGGCTCAGGCTCACCATACCTTTCATTCCATGCTGGTTCGGATCTTGGTTACGAAAGGAAAAATTTTAAGCCCCTAAAAGATACTTTCACAGATGAGCTGACTTGACGTATCATATTAGATCGTAATTCAATAGAAAAGAAATTTTTTATCATTTCCAAGACTGATGGTAATTCTGCCTGCTTGCCTGCCTGTTTCCTTGTTTGCATCAATGTATCAGAATTTCCTTTCCCATTGAACCAAGATCGAAATCGAGAAGCTTTGTGATCAACTAAGAATAAATTGGATCCAAACGGGGAGGGATTCCGTCTGAACGGTACGGGTTGACGGAGATTGCTGCTGCATTGCAGGTCGCCCAACAGCTCGGGAACATTGTTGCATGAGATGAACTTGTTCCCCATGGTATCATACAGTATTATCTAAGGTAAGATTTCGTATGGTATCCAATTGGAAAAGGTAGGAGAGTCATGAAAAATATTCCGTTCCTTCTAGAAACCTCGGTAGAACACATGAGGAAGGCAAGGAAGCGTTGCCGACGGGGCATTTACAGGGCATTAAAGAGTAACATGGTACAGAATTTTGGTACTGTGAGTAACCACGCATGGGTGTGCAAGGTGTTTTAGATGAAGGTATGCAGGGACCCGGGCTCCGAGATAGAAGACTTTCGAAGTTCTTTTTGATTGATCCTGTGGGGGCAATTAGTGGGAGAATGTTGAACCTCCTGGGTCTTTACGGAGTAGTTTCATTTGTTCCACTGCATCCTGGTGGTAGTGAGCAACGGC